GGCAATTTGGGAAATGTATAAAAGAATTAAGGGCAAAAAGGTAATATACTTGGTCAACATAAAAGGGCTTTTAAGTTAAAAAAAAAGAAGCTCCCCTCCCCTAGCTTTTAGCTTTTGGCTTAAAATAAGTCATTTCTGACTTAAAATAAGTCACTTTGATAATTGTCAAACACTTTAATAAGTCAAAAACTGGCTTTTAAGCCAGTTTGACCAGCTTAAAAGCCCATCCAAACAGGCTCTAAATCAGGGCCGGCTCTATGCTTTCAAAAATAAGGCCTCAAAATTTTATCAAGAATAAATTATGTGTTAAAATTTTTATAGAAAAATTAATTATTTATGATAAAAAGTATAATTTTTTTAAAATAAATTATTTTATCCACTTTAACATCTTTTGTACTTTGTTAAAAATAAGAATTAACGGTGAAAAATGTTGAACAAAGTAAATTACAAATTCTTTTTATTTTTTTAAATTTAGTTTCAAGCATTACTCTAAGCATATTAAAATGAGGTATACCAAGTCATCAACTTTTTGAATCAAATTCTATGATTCTAAACTTCTAACTCTTATCTTTATTTAATATTTATCAACTTATTACTTATATCATTATGTTAACAATACATATAATAATTGTCTCACTTAAAGGATGTTTTTCTAATGTTGAGTTGATAAAATCTTACCTAAAACTAGTAACTCAAAAAACAATATTAAGTACTAAAAATTTTACATCTTAATAGTGTAATTTATTTGTTTTTGTAATAAATACGTATATGAAGTGTATTTATATTTTAGGCCACGAATTGAAATTTCGCTTTAGGCCCCCCAATTACGTTGAGCCGCCCCTGGTCTAAATGTGTGTATCATATGAAAGAAAAAGATTAATATACAATTAGTTATTTTTATTAGTATCAGATTAAAGATTAATGCAATTAAGTATTAAAACTCCTAGGGATATATAAAAAAATGATGCTTGATTGTTTTGCATTAGAAATTTATTATATCAAAGCTTTGAGGTTATATAATTAGTTTTTATAATATAAACACCAATGAATATAGTTCACAAAATGATTATAATGCCCTTAGCGACTCACCTCTTGACCTTTCTATTTGATATAATAAATATAATAATAATACTAATAAATTCTTTAATTAATGAGACACATTGTAATTTTTTTAATGTACCTCACATAATTTTATAAATAAAAAATTATTTGTGACTTGATTTTGTATCTAGTTTTGAGGGGTAATTATGTCATTTTAATAAGCTCGTGACACATTACAATTAGTATAGGTTTATTTTTTTTATTTTTTTTAAGGTGATTAGGTGAATGTGTTAGAGGCGTATAGGCGCTACACATCAGTACCCAACAAGGTTTAGCAGCTTAATCTTTTCTACTTAGCAGAAATTAGAAGAAAAACAAAACATTTAATAAGAAAACAGATATATGAGGGTTTAAGAAATTACGAGAGGGGAATACTAAAAACTCTACGCCGGTGACAAAGACGACGGCAGCCCATTCAGCCATGGTTTCGGCAGCAACTTGGATCCGATACGCAGTCGGAAAACTTCAATACTCTGCCTCTATTGGCTGGAAGGTCATCTTCTTTTCCTATTTCTTCTATTTTGAATCACACTTGATTATTTACATACTATGATTATAGAGTTCATTGTATTGAATCGCCGGGAGGTTTTTTTTTATCTAGATATAGCAAATATGTGTGGTTTAGGCTTAAGGATTTTGTGGTTTTGTCTAAAAGATTAGGTCTTTGAGGAAATTAAAGGGCGTGGAGGCTTTTAATATGAAATTATGAGTTTATAGTTTATTGCTTACTGAGTTTCCATCTGGATTTTTTGTATTGATCAAGGCTGATGGAAAGGAAAGCTTTTTTTTACCATCTTGTTTCGTGGATATATTATTCCTGTGCCAAACCAGAAGTCTCTTGACTTTATACATTTGATATGATTTCTTTCAGCCTAATGTCGGCTGTGGAATCTTCATAAAATGCTAAAATTAGTATGCAACAATTTTAGTACAGAGTTCTGGATTAAATGTTTGGGAATCTAAAGCTTGCAATCTTAGTACTTCTTTTAAGTATCCTGCTCTTTGAGGAGGGGACAACAAAACCTATAACTAAGCTGGGTTTTTTTGTATTCCAACCTAAGAGCCAAGAGGCTCCTTCAGGTGGTGTGAACACACGGGGTATTTGGCCTCATACCAATTTGGAGAGGGAAATATTATGGTATGAACTTGCAAGTTAGATATTGAGAAATATTTTGATCAACTCAACTGGTCCTTCTTATGATAATGTCAAGGAAATTGAGATTTGGTGAAAGGTGGATCAAGTGTATAAAGTTCTAAATTCGCACTGCTAAATACTCCATCTAATCAGTAGAAGTCCATTGGGGAGTGGGATGAGGTGGGGGTTCAACACCAAAATGTCTGAAGTAGGGTGATCACCTTTCTCCCTTCCTCTTTATTCTGGCTATGGAGGGCCTTAGAAAATGCTTGATATAGCCAAACAAATGCAATAGATAAGGGGCTTATATGTAGGTTTTATGGGAGAATACAGCATCAGCATCTCGTTTGCTCTATGCAGATGATACACTGGTCTTTTGTGGTGTAGAAAAATCCAAGATTCTCTACTTAACCTTGTTCTCCACATTTTTGAAGCTTGTTAGGACTGCACATTAACATGCTAAAAAGTGTCATCTAAGTCAATGATATACCCAATTTGAATGGGTTGGCATGAATATTATGTTGTAGTTTTGGTTCTTTCCCACCAGCACATCTGGGCTCCCTCTTGGTGCTAAATGCGGGACAACAAAAATTTGGAATGGTATAATTGAGAAGTTTGGCAGAAGCGTTGCCTACTTGACAAATGTAGCATCTCTCAATGGGAGGTAGACTCACACTTACTAATAGTGTCCTGAACAACATTCCCACCTGCACTCTTCCCCATTCCCAGTAAGGTGCAGAAACAATGGGACAAGATCAGGTGAACCTTTTTATGCGAATGTAACAGCAAGGTGCAAGATTTCACTTGGTCAATTGTTCTAAAGTCGCATAACCAAAATGCCTTGGTGGTCTGAGCTTTAAGGATCTGACTACTCATAGTAATGCATGATAATAAGTGGCTATGTAGGTATATTCAGGAGGACCCTTGTCTCTGGAAAGAGATTTTAAGGACAAATCGTAGAGCTCAAAGTCAATGGTACACCAAACCATCAAATACCCGACATGGCATTTGTCTATGGAAGTTGGGGTTAATTCTCCTGGAACATCTCTTTTCTTTTTTTTTTGATGACAAGGGAAATCCGCAGCCGCTACCCTTTGGGTGCGCACAGGGTAAACCCCCGCTCCTATGCAATAGCTCGCAAACCACATAGGAGAGGTAACCCGCACTAGGCAAGCCCGGTGTGACGAGCTCGACCCAAAAGGCAAACCCCTTGTTTTCGTTGGCAAGGGGTTTCGAACTTGAGACCTCCAACATGGAAGTCCCAATCCCAAACCACTGGGCCACCCCGAAAGGTTCTCCTGGAACATCTCTTTCAAGGTAGGTAATGGTCTCCGTAACAAATTTAGGAAGGACAGATTGTTGTCAATTCATCTGGAGGAATATCCTAACCTTTTCCAGATCTGTTATGATCAAGACTCTTTCATCTCATAGAACAGAGATAGCAACATCTAGAGTCTACTCTTCCGGAGAAATGTGCATGATTGGGAATTGGAAAATCTTCTTGTCCTGCTTGCTAGACTGAACAACTGCACCAATCATTGAGTTGTCTGTTGACAAAATAAAATGAGGCGACACAAACAAAGGATTTTACTCGGTAAATGAAAGGCTAAAGGCAGCTCACATGCTTGTGCTCAAAATGAAATAGCTGACAATTGGCTCTGTAAGTTGATTTGGAAAACTCAACTGCCAATTGAGGTTATTTGTCAATCTATTAAGCTTGGCTTGGCTCATGGACAATCTAAGCAAAAGGAATAGACAGATTGTTAATAGATGTTATATATCTCACAAAGATATCAAAATCAGCAACCAACTATTTCTCCACTGTGCAATTGCTATAGAAGTTCAGATTTCTGGAATATGGTCTACTTACCTTTTGGGCTCAATTGGGTCATGCTGTAATCACCTTCTAAATCCATTTTTTTGGCCTTTTAGTTCATAGTAATAATAACTGGTAGGTTTCATTAATGCAAAGTGGCCCTCTTAAGCTGGGCTTTTTGGAAAGTTGGTAGAGCCATCAGGATAATCTGGAGAACGATCCCTACTTGTATTTTTTAGTGTTCTTGCACAGGAAGAAACTGCAGATAGTTGATGGACTATCAAGCCCAAATCAGTCCCTTAAGGCTAGGTGTCTCCTGTGTCTTTTTTAGTTGTATTAACCAATCCCTGGTAAATTCCCGTAATAATCTTTTGGACTTTGTTAGCTCCCTGATCTTAGCATCGCCTTTGCTGTAGTGGTGCTGACATACTCTCTTTTGTACTTATTAGCTTTTTTACTTTTTGGACGCCATCAATGAAATCTCTTACTTCATTTAACAAACCCTACTAAGGGATACTGCTCTTTCAAATTTTTTATTGAAAATTAAGTTCGACTACATAGTTCCAGAAACAGGCTCTGGAACAACTTTCATTCTCTCTATCTTAGACTTTGTCCTTGGATTCCTCTTGACACTAATCATGAATCTTGAGTAGTTGTATATTTTTTCTGCTATCATTCTATATGTTGAGATGGTTTAACTAAAAAAAGAGTTGCTATATAAGAATATTTGAACCGAATTACCGAGAGTATGAGGTAATTTTGCAAGAATCACAGCACAACAAGAAAGCATATAGGTTTGACTCAGAGCAATCAAATTATAAGCAACACCAACAACCATTTATTTTAATCCAAAAGAAGCAAGGAAACTTAGTTTAAGAATTCCTCTAATATGGTGTGACAGTGTGACTGATATCTAACTTAAGATGCAATTTTCTATGTTGAAAAGTATTCCTTCGATAGCTTGAAATCAGTAATTACCTTCTTAACTTTATCTACATGTAAAATCAACCCAAATATTTTAGTAAATAATGTCTTGGCAGAGATTTGAACTTGGTGCTCAACATTTGAAACTTGAGTTCCAGCACAGAGAGGAATAGTAAATAATGCATGTCTTGTTATTGACTTATTGTTAGAATCCTATAATCACTAGCCTACAAATTCTGAATGGAGGGTAATGATACTGATGGAGTCCAAACCTTCCCTAACTTAAAAGGAATGACGAACCAACTTAATCTAGGAAAGCTTACTACTTATAAGGTACAACATGCAAGTCAAAACATTCTAATAACTGTCGCTAGGTTAAGTAAGAAGTTAAAGACACAAGCTGTATGGGATCAAGCAAGCTTTGACATGTTGAAATATCATCTGCTTTTCTGCACTTAAAATCAAGCAAGCTTCTATATTTTACACTTGTGTTTACTTGCCTTTACTTCTTGAGTACACCCCCCTTGCAGGGGAAGAAGGAAAGAGCTTAACTGAATTTTAATGCTATGCAGAACTACAAAGGAGGTGAAATTACAGATAGAGAATTAGGTGATACCATATGGAAGAACTTCTTTCAGGGCAAGTTGACATGCTTGCACTATAACAAGGGAGAGGAGATGGCACCAACACTAGGAGATCAGGGCGTCACACTTCTTGTTCGGAAGATACCTTGGGTTGATCCAAAGTAATTTCTCCTTTGATGCAACTATGTGACCAATTACCTTATGCGTGGTTTTTTTCTCTACTTTAGTGCTGGAATACATTGTTGCTTTATACTAATTCCTTTTATTGCTAATATCTTCACTTGACTAATCTTTTAACAAGCAACAGAGAATTGTCTTACTATTATTTATTGTTTTTTTGTTACTATTTTCTTTTATAATTTTCTGGCATTTTCAACTGAGATTTTCTTCTTGTAGTTGTACAAGAGAAAACTGTACTTATTTAGGTTTGTAGTATTGTAGGGAGTATTTTTTTCTTGTAGCTAATGTTGTGTCTAGGTTAATTTTTGCACACCTCAACTAATCCTCCATGTACCTGCTACCTACTGGGTAACTCTGGCCATCGACGTTTAGACAAATGGGAAAAAATTACCCAATTTCCTAATTAGCTTTGTTGAGGTTTGAACCTTCTTGGTTGATTCCATCTTTATTGATCGCTAGGCCACACCTTTAGGTATAATATAGAGTTCTTTGACCTCCGTTTTGTATGGTTACTCAGCTCAAATTGACTTAATCCTTTTTGTTGTATGTATTCTATCTTCGTCCCATCATCTATCAGATCAGTTATGCTTGCACCACCCCTTGCTTCAGATTATTTGTGAAACTCTATTATAGTAGCTTTGGATGTCCAGCCAGTCCCATGACCTAGTAAAGTTCGGATCTTCCTTTTTAAGTCCATTTTGATAACATGGTTTCGTGGTAATGTCAAAGCTTATTAGTTTTTGCATTATGGATCATTGATCACACTGTTGTCTTTACCAGTAACTGTGAAAGGACATCAAGCTTGGATACAACATCATTGGCACAAGTTAAAACTTACAATCTTAGAAATATGGCTTCTAATTAACTGATTACCTCTTCTCTTTTTAAAAAAATAATAATAATCAATTAGCAAACATCTTTATTCGATTGAAACAAATGCCTGGTACCAAGTTGATTCTGGTGTTACAAAAAGGTATCCATTCTTCACAAGTGTTCTTTCAATTAAGAGTCGATGACTTCTAACAGCTATCCTCATCCTGCAAAAAGTGAGTTAAGCTAGATGCCGATAAACTAAGTTATGCAAGTCCGGGTAGTACTCATTGCATGAAAGAACTTCTTTTCTTTTAAATTAAGACATGGAAGAACTTCTACTTATCAAGAACTTAAGAGTGTTTCAAGAGAGTATGGAAACCAAGAACTAATACAAGAAAAGATTAATATTATGTTTTAGGGTCCTTTTGATCAGAGTATGATGTACATGTAATTAAGGTTATTTATGTTTTTTTTTAATCTTAGTTAACCCTACTAGCATAAATAGAATAGGATGGAGATTATTTGCTTAGACAATATTGATGTATGAACACTTTTAGTGAGTTTTGTGGGTTTTATCCCTTTATCTCTACATTGGATCGCTTTTGAATATTTCATGGTGAGATTATTCATGTATTAGTTTAATCCTCTTCTCCCTTGAATTTAATCTTGTAGTTGTTTGTTCAAATTAGAGGATCTATATTCTTGTTGGTCTCTAATTTACGTCAATTTCAAGATTATTCTTTTTTCTTCTATATCTTCCCTCGATTTCTTAGCTATCTCTTGAATTTCACTATCTTGTATTTTATTTTACATCACTAAGGCACTTGAAATTCAAAGATTGAACATCCATAGACCTTCCTTCGCAACATCTCTGGTGCCTTTTGTCGATACAGAAACAATGCAATCTGGAATGGTATTAGAAATAATCTTCGGCTCCTTTGTTAGCTTTGCAGCCTTCCTAGCAACAAAACAGTTCTTTAGGAGATCTATGCATCACCAAACTCTACCCAAATATCTGCAGTAATAGATCCCACAGATGTCCAGTCACTTTTTGTAGTGTAGAAAGAGCTGGTCATTGTCCTTCCACATTAGTACTGCATATGTAGCACTTGCTGCACAGTGAAACCCCCTTTCTCTGGAGGTTTTCTGTGTCAAACATGATGCGGTTTATGTCTTCAGCTGGGTAGATTTTAACATATGTTGTTGGCCTAATTATTGACTAAAATTGGGGATCCAATGGCATATATGATTTGGAGTGATGTGCAGTCTTCCTGTTTTCCTTTTTTTTCCTGGAAAATGTGATATGCAAGGAAATCTTACCGACATAAATTGATAGATGGAGGTGATGGCACTGCTATCTTATTGTTTCTTCTCATTTCATTTCGCCTCTTTGATTTAGTTTATTTTGTTGGTTTCCTTCTGATGGTAGCAATAATGTGGATCTGTCTCTGCATATGTTGTTCTTTGCTATTACTGACTTCATGTCTCTAATTTTCGTAGGAAAGTATTTGTTGGGGATGTTGTGCTTCTCAAGGACCCTATAAACTCAGAGGATTACCTTGTCCGTAGATTGGCTGCAATTGAAGGCTATGAGATGGTGTCTACCGATGAAAAGGATGAGCCTTTTGTCCTCGAAAAAGATCAATGTTGGGTGCTGGCTGATAACGAAAATGTGAAACCTAAGGTATATGATCCTCACAATAGATTGCTTTTCTCCTCCGGAATAAGATATCATTTGACTGTATTCTCTCAAATCCTCTCTTGTGCAAATCGTGGAACTTGTCTTTGCACTTTATGTTACAATTTTAGAATATTGTGCTTATTGTAGTATGATATTAGTCCAATAATCCCACACAATATGTTGTATCATCCTTGTATTGGGTTTCATTATCTGTTATGACTTGTGAGAGAAAATGATCAAAATGATCCTTAATATATAGGGATTGCTTTATTTTGATCCTTAAAATATTTCACATGATCCATATGGTCCTTAATGTATCATAGAAAGTACTCATTTTGGTTTTTTACCCTAAAAATAACAGATCCCTCAGTTAAATTTAACACCAACCCCACTAAATAAATAAAATAGCCAAAAGCTTTACTTTCTCCCTCATTCTCTATGTCTTCCCATCAAAAGCTCTGTTTCAGAGAACTTGTGCATTTTTTTTTGCCTCAGTCGGATCCCTCTTCCACTTTTAAGACTATTACATCTCAAAAATTTGGTTCAAATAATTGAGTTCTGCTTTTGATAAAAGTTTAAGGACCGAGTTTGATCTTGTTATATAAATTGTGAATTCGTTTTCACAATACCTTCAACATGAAATTTGCTTGGTTGATGCTTCATCAGCCCCTTGTAGCAAATTTAAAAAGCTGAAAAATGTTGCCTAACAATGTCAAAAACAAACTAATTTTCTAACTAAACAATAAATTTAATTTTTTTTAGAAATCCTATCTTTGAATTAGGGCTAGAACAGAAGGAACAGAGGAGGGGTGGAGGAGGGACGGAAGTGGAGAGCAGCGGCTGGCTGGTGGACTAGCGGCGGTGCGACAATAACTTAGAACATTGTGATCGCCGGAGAACAGAGAAGGGAGAAGGAAAAAGGGAAAAATTAGGCTAAAGCTTTTCAGTTGACGAAGGAGAAAGGGAGCTTTGGGTATTTTATATTTTAGTGGGGCCATCAGTTAAATTTAACGGATGGATGTGTTACTTTTAGGGCAAAGACCAAATTGAGTACCTTTTATAATATATTAAGGACTATATTGATCATGTGGAATATATTAAGGATCAAAATAAAGTAATCTCCATACATTAGGGACCATTTTGATCATTTTCTCTGACTTGTGAGCATCATGTTTTTGTTGTATACTTAAAGTTTCTGCATATCTGATCGGAGTCTTGATTACTCACTCACTGCATAGTAGATACAATTTATTTGCAGCAAAAATTGTATCATAAAGTCTAGATATGTGTTATAACTTTAGAGTTTTCATCATAACTGAAACCTTATTTTACCGGTGATCTTATATATTAGTTTAAGCTTACCCTTCGCTGCAGATTCTTGTAAGGCACTTGCATATTGTGAGTAGTAAATCTGAACAAACCTCTTATTGGATGTGCATGTTTTGACCTAAAACTTCAGCATTTTCAAATAGTAGAACTCCTTGAATTATGGTGAAGAGGTAAAGTTTATTAAATGAAATAATTGTTTGATGGAATTCATAAAACTTGAGCTAAATTTTCAGCATTATCAGCTATACAGCACTGTGCTGTCCATATTTATAGTAATTGTTGGGCTTTCCTACTCATGCATTAGGGAAGGATAACAACTGTGCAAATATATTTTTTTATCTTAATATTAACCAAGTCTAGATATTTTCCGTATCTCTTCAATAGCAGGAAGCCAAAGATAGCAGAACTTTTGGCCCTGTTTCCTTAAAAGACATAGTTGGCAGAGCTATATATTGCCTGAGGACGGCAGTAGATCATGGTCCTGTTAACAACAGGTTTGTTGTGTCATTGCTAATCTGCTTCGTTATGCATCAAATAGAGCTTTCATACTGATCATGATTTATTCGTCTCTTGCTTTATCAGTCAGTTTAGCATGGATTTGGATTCACCAGTCCTAGAAGTAGAACTGGATGTTGATGAGATGGCAAAAAGTCACAAAGCATAGGTTATGCTTTGGATGTGAAAGGTTTTCCTAGAATTACTGATTTGGTTGTACCCTCCCTTTCTTGTTTCCTCTTATTAATCTGAGCAAAATTCATTGGGGAAAAAAAATAAAGTTGTATTAGTGATTTTGGTACATTTTCCCAGGTGATGATCTTTCCTCTTAATGAGTGAACTGTAAAACTTTGAGGTCTTCAGTTCTATTTAGGATGCATTTCAAAGCTGGAGCTGTAGTATGCAAGTTTGGGACAACCTGTAAAGATTTTCAATTTGATTCACTTTCATCCAGGCTGAAGAAGCCAATTGACAAAGAGAGGATTATTTGTTGCAGTAACTTGAGAAATTATTTTGAGTGATTTCTTTCCATTTGTCTGAACTATACTAAAGTCGCGGTAAAGAGTAGATATGAATCCATAACCTTGAAAATATAATAGGTTCAACGATAAGAACATTAATACTTGAATACATTTAGGGTGTGTTTGGTATGAAGGAAAATGTTTTTTCTAGAAAATCATATCTTGGAAAATAAGTTGAATTTTAATTTATTTTCTCATGTTTAGTTGAAAATATTTTTTTGTGTTTGGTCGGTGAATGGAAAAACATTTTCTAGAAAATATCTTTTGGCTAGCGAGTAGAAAATATTTTTTAGGAAAATAATTTTTGGCTCGATAATCGATCCAGGATCTGACCTCGATGACCGATTCAAGATGCGATCGTGAGATCTGACCTAGGACCTGGCCCAAACTTTTGATCTGAGACACAACATTCGAATTGGGACCTGACCCTCTGCCCCCTATTGGAAGAGATTACGAGAGGTGTACCTTTCCTTTTGTTTTGTTTGATTGCCGACCCCTCCACCTGAAAAATTACCTTACCAACTCTTTGTGGTATTATTCAATGAAAACAAATTTTAGCTCCCTGGCCTTCCATATCAACTTCTACAAATTCAACTATCTCTAATTGATCAACTCGTAAATTGTATCACATACGATATGAAACTCAAATTTAAGTATTTAAAAAACAATAAATAGCTGGTGTAAGGAGTTAAAAGGAGGGTAATTTCACGTATACGTAACACTAATTATATTTTCAAACATAAAAATTACTACTAAATTTTGAGATACCAACTAAAAAGTCACAAAGGTGAAAAATGCTAAAACTTTCCAATGTGAACTCTTTTTCTAGGGAGCGCTTTACCCACAACGTGGGACTTCCCGGTGCGAATTCGGATTTAGTCGGGCTCCAATGTGGATATTGGACATCGGGTGGGAAATCGGAAAAATAATCTTTTTCTAAAAGAAATCTACTCCCTCCATTTCAAATTAATTAAATTGTTGAGACATTTTTCATTTTTTCAAATTAACTTAATTGTACAAGTTTCAAGACTACTTTTAGAGTTTTCTTCCAATTTTACCCTTCATTAGTTAGTATTAGTATTAGTTATTAATTAATGTTTAGTTATTTTAATCATAAATATGATAATAATTAATAAGGATAAAAATGAAAAGTTATGCCTAATTTATGTCTTAATCTTCTTTTCTTAAAGTATTTGAAACACATCAACAATTCAATTAATTTAAAATAGAGGGAGTAATAAATAATAAGTTAATTAAAACGGTCTGATTTGATCTAATCCAAAATCCAAACCAATATGAGTAAAGTAACATTGTAAGAAATCAAAACTATGAGGGGGTAAAGTGATAGATTTCAAAACCAAAACGGGCCGCAATTGACTAGATTTTGAAATTTCACACTTTGCTTTTCCGACCCTACGAAAATGGTGAATATATAAAACTCCCCCTTATCAGTGTGCAAGACTATTTTTCTTAGTAGAAAGGCGAAAATCGAGAATGCGAAAGTTTGATTGAGACTGCAACACTATTTCTTATGTTTTCTCAAATTCCAAAAATGTCAAGCGCCATTGATTTCACTCTCAAGAACCTTCCAGGTAATTTATTTATTTTTTTGGGTTTTGTTTATGTTCAATATGTAAGAGCTCTATGTTGGGTTGGGTACAAGCATGCACACTAACTGTTTGAGCTAATTTCTCAAAGAGAGATGTCATTAATGTACTCTTTTCTTTTGATTGGGCGAATACAAGAATGCTTTCATTTGTCTTTTCCCTTTCTATTTCTTATTTTTTGATGTCCTATTGGGTGTCTACAAGGTGTTTGATGAAATGTTTGTGTTAAAAAAGAGGTTACTTTAATTAGTTTGCGTCTTATTAACGGCCTAGCTATGTCAGAACACTATTTAATAAGAGCAAGCTTAATAACTACTGCAAACTAATCCCTCTAGTTCATATTAAGTGAATTTTTTGGACTTTTATCATAGTCTAAAATAAGTGAATCCCTTCAAAGTTTAAGGGAGTTGTTGAAACCTTTTTCTATGTTTACCTTTTATGTAATGAGGTTTTGAACTACTTTACATTTTTTAAGAGAATAGTTTGGAAATAATCACAAGGGTAATGGTGGTAACTAGTCTTTTATTTCATACAGAACTAGTTGAGGTCGGCTATTTGAATTCTCTACATCCATTTTGGCTCTAGTTGGATGCTTTCATTATGATGCTTAGTAGTTTGTCATTTAACAAAGAAGAATTTAATGATGTTTATTATTGATGCCATTGATAAATAAATACATAAGCTAGAATTCCTTGCGTGTTTCAATGTCAAGATGGTTTATTTTTGGCTGCATTTGATTCGGGTAAAGTGGTGGAGCTTTTTTAGAACAGTTTGAGCAGGTGGTTTCATTTGCATTGTTCTTGGAATAGTTTAATGTGAAGATTTTTCTGGGTGGTGTGGGGTTTTGAGGTGGCAAATATGCAGGATTATTGGTGTGTATGACAACTTATTGGCTCTTCTTGGAGTAATTTTTTTTTTTTTTTCAAACTCTGCAAGTTCCTATTTAGTGGAACTTATATTTTATTCCGATTCTTTTTAGGTTCCAGATCTTTCCAATTTTACTTTAAGTCAGTAGTTCACACATCAGCTTGGTCACACGTAAGCATAAATTAAGAAAATCTCATAGATTCCCTGGTCATGCCAAGAACTCTTCCAGCCTCTTTTTCTTTCTGTGAGGTGCTAGCAGTGGCACAAATCTTGTCTTGTTCACAATATATTTCTTTAAGCCCCATTTTTCGTTGTCTTTATTCTGTTTCTAGATGTCTTTGCCCCTCTCTTTTTAGTGTATGATATGTGCATCGTTGGTATCGATTGACATGATGACGTCAAGGTTATTTTCATCGCAATAGTCATTTCTGTTATTTTTAATACTACTAATTCTTGTAGTGTTATCAGTTAATATCATTTTTTTTGATTTTGCACCGGGTGTCCGAGTCTCTTTGAGCCCCGACTAATCCCCGGGGGGTGCACAGGCCCTCGGCAAGGAGTTTCCCGCAAGTGCACCACGGTTAATTCAGGTTTTACCCAGTCCGATGGCCCTCAGAAATTGTTTGCACCCAGTGGGTTTCGAACTTGAGACCTTGAAAGGGAGCAAACCCCAAGGCTCAAGTCAATTGCCAGCAGGCCAACCCCTGAGGGTTATCAGTTAATATCATTTTTTTTTATTTTGCTCCGGGTGTCCGAGTCTCTTTGAGCCCCGACTAATCCCCGGGGGGTGCACAGGCCCTCGGCAAGGAGTTTCCCGCAAGTGCACCACGGTTAATTCAGGTTTTTACCCAGTCCGATGGCCCTCAGAAATTGTTTGCACCCAGTGGGTTTCGAACTTGAGACCTTGAAAGGGAGCAAACCCCAAGGCTCAAGTCAATTGCCAGCAGGCCAACCCCTGAGGGTTATCAGTTAATATCATTTTTAAAATGCAAATGCTTGCCTTCTCAAAAAAAAAATATCATTTTTAAAATGCAAATGCTTCTTATAGAAGCAGAATTAATGACTTTTTTAACTTCTTATTTCTAGATAGCTTTGGGACATGTCATACATAAAATGTTAGGCAGAGGAGGGAATCTGATACAACATTGTATAGTTGTCCCAAAGAGTGCTCTTTAATTGGTAAATGGAAATGCTTACTTGGAAGATGTAAATTAAGTAACTTTTCTGAGATTATGCATCTTATCCCTATACAGTTGTGATCCTATTCTTTAGTCACCCTTCCACATGGAGCTCAACATAGTTTTAAGCTTCAGCTGCAATGTAAATGCATCAGTCGTGACCTACATGTTGATCATTCCGTTGACAAAGAGACGACTATTTAGAAACATTCTCTTATGCATAAGTTAATTTTTTTTTGTATCTGTAAAATCGAATTTAAACACTTACATATATGCTATTATACTATTTCAGGGTTTAGTTCCCCAGAAGGCAGATGTCTTCCCTGCTCAGGACTGTCAGGGAGGACAGTCACTTCTCATGGTGAATATCAGCAATTTTCCAAGGTCAAGATTTTAAACTTGAAATCTCCTTACAAAAGCACATCTTATATGTGTAATGCTAGTAGCTTCAGCAATCATAAAAGAAATCCAGATTTTTCGAGGCAAAACAAGCATGGGTTCTCTAGGGAGCGGAACAGGCAAAATGAAGACAGAGATGGTTATGACAATATAGAAGAATCTGAAATGCTATCTTCAAGAAATGGACCACTGCTTACTACATCAAACACTTCGAGGTTCCAAGCTACAGCCACTCCAGGTCCAAGGGAAAAGGAGATTGTTGAACTATTTAGAAAGGTCCAGGCTCAGCTTCGGGAAAAAGCTGCAATCAAGGAGGAGAAAAAGTCTGAAGAGTTGCAAGGAAAGGGTAAAGAGAGTGAAACTGTTGATTCCCTTCTCAAGCTTTTAAGGAAACACTCAGTTCAGAAAGGGAAGAAAACCAGTAGCAGTAGAAGTAGCAACTTTGTCCTTGACCAGCCAGATAAGAGCAATGTATTCTCTGAAAAGAGAGCTAGCAATCTCACTGAACTAAATAGCAATGTGAACCATGTGGCACAAGAAAGTGGCACCCCATTTGTTAACCGACCTAAGTCAAACTTCCAGCGTAGATCTCCAGTTCCGCGAATCAAATTTCAGCCTATTTATCATGAGGGAGGTACTGATTACCCTGCTGCCTCTTCTGCTCCAGATAAGATGGAAGAAGACATACATCTGGATGCTGAACTTGGGCAAATTCCCAGAAGTAAGGTTGATTCTGACACTGAGCCTATTTTCTCAGATAAGCATGTGTTTGATGAGATGGCTGATGATGATACTGCCAAAATGTATGAAAGTGTTGATGCTAGTGATGATGAAGAACACAATCAAGTTGGACATGATGAATTAGCTGAAATGAAGCTAACAGAACTGCGAGCAATTGCAAAGTCCCGTGGTTTGAGGGGATACTCGAAAGTGAAA